TGGAGGTAACCCCTCGCAATTTCGCACGTGCAAGGCCCACCCTCTCGCTCGCTCCGTTAGTCGCCCCAAAAGGCTTAACCCTCGCCCTGGCAGGGCATTTTTCATAACACGGTCTGGCAGGGGGGGGTGATGCGACCCCCTCGCGATTGGCTCCTATGGCACCTAGAAACACCAAATTTGGTAGGTAGGTGGGCCCCCTGGAGTTCTCGCCCCTGTGCAACTTTGGTTGCTCCAGGTCAATATTTAGGGGGATATTGGGGGGTATAAATGTAAAAATTTCGCTAAAAACAGGTCAAACGTTTTTCGCTTATAACTTTTGATCTAATTAAGATAGAGAAAAAAGAAAAGCACCAGTGAACTCAGCACGTCAAGGCGCGTCGAATGATATGCTTTTTTGCTTGCTTAAGTGTACTTAAAGTTTTTTTAACTTTTAAGTAAACTTTAATTAATCAATTAAGTTCAAGTTAACCTAATTGCATCATATCGCATATCATTCGATTCGGCTGATCACCAGGAACACAATTTTTAAGTTCTAGCGTCATTATATCCCTCGCTAGACGAGGGCCTTTTCCATAACACGGACGGCGAGGGGGGGGGGGGTTGGTACGACCCCGCCTCGCGATTGGCTCCTATGGCACTTAGAAACGCCAAATCTACAGGGTAGGTGGGTCAATAGGAGATCTCGTCCCTGTGAAAGTTTTACGATTACGAGTGATTACGGCGTCATTACGGATCCGGTGTGAACCACGCATAAGTCAATATTTAGGGGGTTTTTGGGGGGTATGAGTGCAAAAATTTGGCTAAAACATGCTACAAGTTTTTCGCTTATAACTTTTTACCTAGTAAAGATAGAGCAAAAATAAAAGCACCAGTGAACTCAGGACGTCCGTGCGCATCGAATGATTACGGAGCGAGCGAAGCGAGCGGAGTCTTTCCTTAGATTAACGGAAATTTCTGAGTATGAGCGGCCGGCCGGCCGGCCGGCCGTGCGGACGCTTTTGCGAGGCTTATATCTCAGCAACCACTTGACCGATTTACATGCGGTAATTTTTGTAAGGTAGCTTCATTCCTTCTACCAAGTATTGGACTATTCCCGATGCATTTGGGTGACCCATTATGCACGTGCCACGTGCAAAACGAAGAGGTGTCAGTTTTGTAATTGTTGCAATATCTCGGTAACTACTTGGCCGATTGCGCTGAAAGTTGGCATGTAGGTAGGCACCCACTAGGCACTGCATATCCATGTGCCAGAGTTGGGGTGCTGCTGCACGTGCGCACGTGCAGGGGTCGTTTCCAGATCTCGAGAACGGCTCGACCGATTGCGCTCAAATTTGGTACACAGTTAGGGACCGGTTAGAAGGGTGCCGTGCACAAATCAGTTGGGACCCATTTTGCACGTGCGGACGTGCAGGGTGCCGCTTCCAGATCTCGAGAACGGCTGGGCCGATTGTGCCCAAATTTGGCAAATCGCTAGAGACCGGTTGGTAGGGTGCCGTGCACAAGTCAGTTGGAGGTACCCCCTCGAAATTTCGCACGTGCAAGGCCCACCCTCTCGCTCGCTCCGTTAGTCGCCCCAAAAGGCGCTATACTGGTATACTTTGTTACCAATTTTAGTGAACTGTGGAATTCAGTTGCCGCTAAGCTAGTCCAATTTTCCCCTGACCTTGTACCGGTTTTTGTGACCTGGTGACCTGACCTGAAAAGACTGGGACTTCAAATTTTCAGGAAAGGTGCGAAAATGTTGCCCCAGAAAGTATGCCAAATTTTGCGGCGCTACGCGCCGCCGTTTTTACGTTATTTGCGAAAAACCTTAGGGGGCGTTACATCAACCCCCCTCGTCAGGCGAGTTATTGGGAGGCCAAGTTATTGGCAAAAACGTCATTTGACCTCAGTTGACCTCATTTGACCTGACCCATGGATAAGTACACAAAAAAAGCACCAAGTGACCTGCTGTTAACTAATATGGTTTTAACCCTCGCCCGCACATGGGGGGGGTGGTTGCCACCCCCCCCCCCAGGCAGTCTTTCTGCTCTGCGCTCAACATTTTTAGAGCTAGAAGGCTGATTTTTCGTATAGCTGCTCGTCTATCCTTTCTTGATGTCCACTGAAAATTTCAAGTTTCTGTGATTTTTGGTTTCGGAGATATGACCTTGTTTTTCAGGTCATGTCATGACCCAAATGGCCAATTCTCAACATCTTGCGTTTGCCATGGGCCTTGTGAGCTTTTGACACCCTGATTTCGGCCTTTTTCGCCAGTCTTACCTCCCACCTATCATGGAACATGTTGTTCGACGATGTACAGGGGTCAAGGTCAGGGTCAAGGTCAACCTAGGTCATCTAAGATAATTGCGTTTTAGGAAAGCTGAATTTACTTTTTGTGAAGTTTTTTGACTGCATTTTTGGTAAAAGCTTCTCAGATCATGATTTCATGTGATATGGACCCAAAAACAATCGGTGCACACATCAGTATACTCACAGACACACACAGACATACAAACACATATAATTGACCTTGACCTAACTTGACCTGAAATGACCTCAGCAGCAAAATTCTGGTCGGATAGTGTGACAAAGAGGTTCTAGCTGGCTTGGCACCAGAAAACAGCATCGTCATCGGTATTTGATAAGCAGCGCACTTGATATCCAACGGTGACCCAAAACAGCAACATTTTTTAGTTTGACCTGACCTGGAAGGTCAATGACTGACCTGAGAAAGTAAAACTGGGTATCATTGGATTCGTCTCTTCCCAAAGAATCTTTTTGGTCTTTACTGCTAAGCTCTATCTCCAACAGGGACGAAATGGCGCGGGGGGGGGTGGCAACCACCCCCCCCATGTGCGTTCTAGGATGGGAAAATGGCATGTGCGGGCGAGGGTTAAAGCACAAAAGTGATGGAACAGAGTGGATATCTCCAGTATTTTCCGAATTTAGTATTTTCCCATAGGCTTAACCCGCGCACCGACGGGGGGGGGCGGATATCCGCCCCCCCTGAGGTTTTTCGCAAATAGCGGGAAAACCGCGGCGCGTAGCGCCGCGAAATTTGGTATGACTATTCCCTTATCAATTTTACACATGGTGTGCAAGTTTGAACCTCCTACCTTTCAAGGTCAGGTCACCAGGTCACTTTGAATGACCCAACCTCAAGTCACTTTTTTGCAACTTTGTCACCGTGCCAGAGCTACAGTAGATGTCGGAGGCCTTTGAAAGTCACAGGATGTTATTAGGTCATTAGTAGCTACAATTTGTATATCTCGGAATTTTGATATCGGTGACCTAAGGTCAGGTCAATTTCGCGACCTCCCCATTATAAGTCAATGGGGGAAAAATCAACTCCCTGTTTTTACCACTAAAACGGGTCGGAATGGCCCCATATACCATACATGACTTCATATACGATCAACCTTCACTACCTTGAGGTCTGTTTTGCTGTTGGGCAGCTGTGAGGTCATGTGACGTCATCAAAGGTCACCAAAGGTTTTTGGCCAATAACTCCGTACAGGAACAAGATACAGACGCGTGGATGGTCTCATTGTGTTCAGCTCGTCAAGACGCATCGAATGATATACATGATGACCTCGAGGTCACGTGACCTGAGGTCAACCTTTGACCTTGACCTTTCGAGGTCAACATATATATCATTCGATGCGGATTGACGAGAGGATCACGATGATGCCCTTAGTTTGTTCCTATCTTGACTAATTCGAAAGTTATTCGAGAAAAACTCTCTCCATATTTAGCGCCGCCATTTTGACTTTTTCGACCCCTGTGACGTCATCTTTGACCTGACCTGAAAATGACCTTTGTAAAAATTGTAGATATTGACCGTGCGTATCCGATGCCGTTTACCGCTTGTCGCTATCTTGCTTTGTTCTCGAGATCTCAGGGGGGGGGGCGGTCATCCGCCCCCCCCCCCCGTCGGTACTAAGTTGGCGCAGACCCCCGTCGGTGCGCGGGTTAACATTACGACGTAATGACCTCTAACTGACATCAGGTCAGTGACATCAAAAAACCCGAAATATATGTTATACAACTCGGTGAACTTAGCACATCCTGAAAGTTTGAAGGAAATCAGTCCAAAGCTGTGAGTTGGACAGATGCAAAAAGAAAATTGAAATTTGACCGTGACCTTGTACCGGTTTTTCTGACCTGGTGACCTGGCCCAAGGTCAACCGGACTTGAAATTTTTAGGTCATATGTAAATAGGTTTCCGCATAGGCTGTGCCGAATTTGGCGGCGCTGCGCGCCGCCGTTTTTACGCTATCTTCGAAAAACCTTAGGGGAGGGGGGTTGCATCAACCCCCCTGCCAGGGCGAGGGTTAAACTGGTTATTATGACTGACTGTAAAAAGCGAAATAGCCTCTAGCAAAGTGCAAGGATACTTTTCGTGACCTTGACCTTGGAGCAGCCTGGAACTGTAAGATGAGCCACAGATAGGGTCTGATAAGCCTCACAGCATTTCAAAATATTTTGGAATTTAGTATACAAGACAATCGAAAAAAAATCAAAGTTTGAGGTCAAATTTCAGCATGACCTTGACCTGTACCTTAAATGTTAAGCACATTATTGAAATCCTCAGATTCTCTTCTTTCGTTTCACACCCATTTGAGACGGTTTTATGCATCCTGCCGTCCTCTAGAACACTTACTTCGAGATCACTATACAGTACATATGTGCCGGTTTTTGTCCTTGACCTTGACCTCTGACCTTGAAAATCGACCTGAGTTGAAAAACTTTAGTGCTTTAGAATCGTTTTACAAAGACCTTTCGCTTGATAACGCCTTTGTTTTCGTATAGGTGCCTTATTTATGGAGTTAGACGGGGGCGGAGGGTGGGGGACCAAAAACGTCCACCTCCGACCCGCGCCGAATGCAGAAGACCGATAGGTTTGCTGAAGATAAAAAATTGCTAGTTTTACACACGTCTAGTTTCCAGTACGAGATGGTGCTTAAACTGTTGTAGGCGTCAAGAATCGATTGCTTCCGCAGCAAACCACTGTGTCTGGGTCCCGTGCGTAGATTTGTGGACCCTGACATTGACCGCGGTGGCCACCTGGATCGTCCATCTGTCTGGGAGACGTCTGCCTCAGCGGACCGACCCCAGTCAGCCCCCTCGCGTCCATCGATCTTATCTGGACGGCCGTCGCTGGTACGGTGCGCGCGCCTCCCGCCGACAGCACGGGCGGTTCTTCAGTCGCCGCCGCGCCGCCGCCGCCGGTGACCAGCCGCCGCGCCGGCCGCCACCGCCAGCCGCCAGCCATGATCTCCGCCGCCGGCGTGCTGGAGCACGTCATCATCAACTACCGCTGGGTGTTCGTCTGCCTCTTCCTGCTGCCCGTCTCGGTACTCTATGATGCCTGGATGTACGCGCGCAACTGGCTCATCTTCCGGCTGTCGAGCGCGCCGAAAAACCACGTTGGCAAGGTGCACAGCATTCAGGTGCAGGTGAGCAGTCAGCGGCTGACACGGTCCGTGCGGGATGGGCCATCACGCCCCGGGACTCCCGACACCGAGAGCTGGGAGCTGGGGTGTCGGACTGCGACCAGGAGGCTGCCCGGTTGAACGCGTCCATCCAGATCAATGTTACCTCTCTTCAAGCAGGAGCAATCAAGTGGTTTACATGCGAGTCGTGAACGGAGTGCATAATTCGCTGAGCATGGAACTAAGCTCAAAATGCATGTTAGGTGAAATCAGCAAGTACGATATGCCTGAGTTGTTCGAGCTATTACTAAAAGAACATGCATTTAGCCCGCACCAATCACCATGCTGAAGGTCTGAGTTTTCCTCGGGTGGGGGAAGGCGTTTTCCGTCCCCCGTCTAATTCGGCCCCTGGGCGACGTACCTATAGCGACGCGTTAAGCGGCATTCGAAAGAGCGTACTAAATAATGATGATAGTACTTCAGTCATTTTTTAGGTCAGGTTAAATGTGAGGTCACCAGGGGTCATCAAAGTTCAAATTTTGTCCTTTTCAACACGTTTTGACAAATCTGCACATTAGCCCGCGCCCTGGTGGGGGGGGGGGCTATTTTTTGCCCCCCCTCCAGACTTTTCGATATATCTCCAGAACCGCTGCGCCGATCGTCACCAAACTCTCAGTACCCTCCCGGACATCAATTTTACACATTGTGACCAAAAATTTTTCCAAAGGCTATGATAGGTTGGCCGGAAATGACGTCAGAGTGACGTCATGTTCTGCCGTTTTCGACCCAAAAAAGGGTTTCGCGGGAAGAGCTGTCAGGCCTTAAGCTTTGCAAATACAGAAAAACGATAAAGACATAAAAGCTGTAGAATTGACAGGGCTACAAAACTGCTATCTCGGATTTTTAAAATTTTTGGATTTTGACCCCAAAAAATCAAAAAATAGATTTTTTGATTATAATAGCCGAAAAATCCAAAAAGTTTTTTGAATTTCGAAAAAACCGGAATATATGTGATAGTACTTACTGCCTTCTATCTACATACCAAATTTGAGATCGATACCTCTTTTTTTGGCCAAGTTACAGCGAAAAAACTGTTCAAAATTGATGACGTCAAATTTTCAAACTCAATTTTTTGCAATTCTAGACCTCGTAGCGCAAAACAAAGACCACCATTAGACTCCCCGTGACGAGCTGCATCGAATCAATACCCATTTTATGCAAAATATCAACTTTGAAATTTGACCTTTTTTGACCTGACCTTGACCTGACCTCCACCAGAAAGTGACCTAAGCCGTACCTGATAGTCTTATAACCAACACCATTGAGTTGGAAATGAAAAATTGGCCATAAAACATGCATCGCACAACCTTAGTACCTAAAGTTAGGTTCATGTGACCTGACCTGTGACCCTTGGTGACCTGACCTGTGACCTGACCTGGTAATGTCAGTGACCTCTTATAGCAATATATGTACTAGGCAACTGACGCCCTATCGCTGATTCTCGACAAAATGCGTTTTCTTCGGTGTTATAGCGCATTCCCTAGATGACCCGTGAACGGTGAAACATTTCATCTTTGACCTGACCTGTGACGTCATCGGTGACCCCGAGGTCAATGAAATTTGGTTTCCCTCAACAAATTTGACAGGCCTTTCGAACGCCGTTTGAATTTTGCGGATCCGTCCAGTAGTTTCGGAGATACGAGGGGGGGGGCAAAAAATAGCCCCCCCCCCCACCAGGTCGCGTTATAAACAGACCCCACCAGGGCGCGGGTTAGCTCAGAGTCAATAGAGATACAGTGCTGCAGAAAAGCGTATTCGATAGATCTATTGACGCTCCTGGAGTACCCTCTAAGATTTGACATAAGATCAACTATTTAGCCCCCAGAAGGCGAAAACTCTTAACCCTATTACTGGTGGGCTTTCTGGACTACGTTAACTGGTGGGGGGGGGGGGGGCGATTCAGCCCCCCCTTGATATCTCGAAAACTAAACGTCCGATCTTGATGAGACAAACGCCATTCGATTGCTTTCATCGTGAACTTTCAGACTGACTATGAAAAGTAAAAAAAGTTCACAATTGGGGGTCCTGGAAGAAAATTTTTCGAAAAAAAAATGTGTCTTACACCTCATCACTAAAAATGCTATAACTTTTTTCTTCTTTGACCTATTTTGATGAAACTTTAGAACTTTCTAATTTCTTCTCGTCGAGCGATCTCGTCGATGCTGGATTTGAAAGGGTACTGACTCATACTGAGCAACTATTCGTTTTTTACTAGTTATTGTGAAATCGTATGCAAACATGGGAAGCGACAAGTAAGTCCTGATGCGCAAAAGTCTAAAAAGTTACGGAAATTAATACATAACCTCTATAACCATTTTTCTATTTTCATGTCCTTTTTACTACAGTGAGCTTAATTTTGTTCATGATTTAAATAATCATGACGAGAACACATTTTTCATCGTATGCATTGTTTATCTTAATTGATGCGATCCTAAAAGCGACAATTACTAGGTACCTAATAGGTAGATTAGCTGCAGCAATAGCTACTAAATAGGCAGGTGACTACCTATTTGATGTCATTTCCTACGCATCCAACCATCCAATGGAAAGATCCATTTCGAAGGATTCAAATAAACAGCTCCTTTCAAGTACGGGCCCAACATGACATTGACTTTATGCATGAATGTTACATAGAGGTTTCTGGAGAACAAACAACAATGCCAGTTGCATTTGGCAACTAATTACCTTCAATTCAATTGGGCCGCGTGACAATTTAACTTATGAATAAAGCCAATAATGCCAACAAATAGATATGTTGACCTGCTGATGCTGACTGACTCAAAATTCGTACATGGCAATAGCTTATAACTGAGGGAAATAAGTTGTGAAAAATATAGTCCCAAATATTAACAGATGTTCTGTTTACCTAGAGGAGCGCAAAAAAAATTACGGAAAGCAGTTGATCCAAAATGACTTACTGCTACTTACCTACTGAAATTGTTCTGGTTAAGAGCCTCAATATTGACAATCGTAAGCTCGCTGCTAATCTGTCTCATTTCAAACATTGCTCCTGATTAGCGGAATGACTCACAATCAGATCCGAACCGGTCGACCCGTCGGCGTCAACCTCACACGGGGCGGGCACCCTCCCCGACCTCCGCGGCCAGCGGGGGCCGCCGTCGGCCGACGCCGTCTCAAAGTCCGCGCGCGCACCGCATGGGCCACAGCGTGACCGGTCCCCTGCAGTGGCCCCATCAGCTGGCGCTCGAGCGGCCCATCCGGGTACCCACGTAACCGAAATACGGGCAGCCGTCACAACAAGGATGTATAATGTATATGGGAGCTTCATCGGGGCTGCATTTTAACACCGACACCATGTGCGACCCTTGAGTGCGGAGATAAGTGCTTAGGCTCTCACTGATTTAGGTGATAACTTAGTCGCCGATTCTTTTACATCCATTATACTAGCAAGCTGCACTTGAACTATGAACCAGATAATCTTAAATGCGTCGGCGATATTTACTGCTAGCTATATTTTAAATCCCTATTATAATTTTCACAGTCATTTGGAATAATTAATCGAGAACGGCTTTACGAATGCAGTGTCAATTAAATGATAGGTATATTTGATAATGTAGGTAGGCATTAACAAAGTAATCTTGGGTACTACCTACACTCAATCCATATTTTGATGATACTTTTACCGAGAAGGAAACCAACACGCACATTACCCTATTGAAATTTGTTAAAATGTTGCCTATCACGACAACGACGTTCATGAAATAAAAGAAACTTTTTACGGTTTCATGTTCATTATCCATAGGTACGTATCTCATTCAATAACCAATTTTATGAAATGTGCATCGATAGGCGCAAAGCTGATAAACTAAAACAAATATTGAAATGTTGAGGCCGTTAATAAAGCATGAGTCAATGAGCTTGAGCACCATGATTCATGATCATTTGTACTGTCTAAATCTTACCGCCACGAAAGCATATAAGCAAAGAAAGGCTGCTTTTCCCAATATCGAAACAGATAGTCAATTTTAACCCGCGCCGGGCCGGGGGGGTGTTTGAACACCCCCCTTGCGGTTTTTCGCAGATATCTCAAAAACGGCGGCGCGGAGCGCCGCCGTTTTTGGCACACCTGTTCGTGCATCTTTTCCGCACATGTTGTGAAAATTTCAGACCCAGGTCACCTTAGGTCAGGTCACCAGGTCACGCCAAGTGACCTCACCTCAGAAAAAATAAGAATGCTCGTCATAGCTACATCGACTGAACGATTGCCTTGAAACTTTCAGCGATTGATTAGAGTAACACTATCTATGAAATGTATATCTCGGAATTTTGATATCGGTGACCTAAGGTCAGGTCAATTTTGCGGTCAATGGGAGAAAATAGAAAAGCGCCTGTTTTGCACGAACGCTATTCTAGACACTCTCAAACATCGAGATGTAGGTAAAATAGACAAACTGAACCAGAAAATGGCAACTGTGACCCCTCGTTATGTCCCCGAGGTCATCTCAGGTCACGAACAGAATCTAACAGTTTTTCGATGATAACTTCTGATAGAGGCGTGCTAGAGCGCTGAAAACGCCATAGATGTGTTCGGCTCGACGTTGCGGATCGACTGATATGCAACATGACCTTTTCCGGTCAGGTCATGACCTTGACCTGAGGTCAAATTTTAAAGTTGACCTTTCAAGGTCATATTATGGTTCATTCGACGCGTCTCGACGAGAGGAACACGATGCTGGCAAAATTAATGTCATAGCTCTTTTGCGTCAAAAGTTATTGCCGAAAAAACGTTTTTCGTAAAAACGGCTATTTTTGGTGTTTTTGCCCTCTGGAGGCTAAACCGTTGACCTGAGGTCAAATCTGAGAACATTACTCAGAAAGGTCTGTAAAAGGGCTATCGAATGCGCTTTTTTGCGGCGCTGTAGCTCTATCGGTTCCCGAGATAGCCGTTGGCAGTTTCCAAAATGTTGAAATAGTCAACATTTTACCTTTGGTGACCTCTGGTGACCTGACCTTTGACCTGACCCAAAAAATGACCGAAGTGTTTTCGTCCTTATTTTTGACGTTCTTTCGATTGCCGCTTACCGCGTGTCGCTACGTTGCCCAGGAGCCGAGTTAGAAGGGGGGGTGTTCAAACACCCCCCCGCGGCCCGGCGCGGAATTTCAGAGCACCGGCCCGGCGCGGGTTAAGCTTATTGGTAATGTTTCGAATAACTTGTTCGAAGATCGCACTGTCATCATCCGCAATCCCGCGACTTGCCACACTAACAGACATTCTTGCTCGGCGGGTCGGTGTGGGCTATGCGATGCTGAATGGGTTAGAAGAGAGCTCTGTCAAAGAACGGCGGCTGGCTGGTTCTCTGTGGCTTTATCACTCTCCTCTTGGCATCCTGTTCCGCTGAATGTTTCAGTTTGTAATGACGTCAGTCCGGGGCTGGTGCGGTCAGGTTCAAAACGATAACGTCACGGGCCATACACCGTGTCCACTTCAAACTGCGGCCACCAGCTGCGCCGACTCCCACGGGGGTGACAGACAGACAGACAAGCAGACCACGCTGCCGGCCTTGCCACTTGGGCTCCTATCTCTGACTGACAGGTACCGTTTGCTGATATCGTCTACTATCTGCCGATAGTATTTGATGATTTTGGAGTTACTAAGGCTTGATCCTTGTTTGATCAACATCGAGTTGACGAAACGTGAGCAATCCCGTCCTCATTTGGCAATTGGCCTGAAGAATTGAGTAGAGAGATACAACTGGTTAAATCCGAAGCACATCTGTGTACGCATGCAGTGCTACTGTACCTACATTTATGTTCTACACTTACGAATATCTCTATGCACTTTACATTACGTTCTACACTTTACATTAATAAACGTCATTATGACTTATGAGAGCATGTGGATGACAACCTAAACATGCCTAATCAGGATGAAGGTGCACTTACATATCGCCTTAACGTCGCGGCGAAAGGCTCTTTTAGCGAGAGACGACGGAGAAAACCATACTCACACGATTAGCACTGGCGCGGAGTACGGGCAGTTCGACATTCCGCGCTGTGTGTTGGGGGAGGGGAGGGGGGTCAGCCCTCTCATCGGTGGCATGGTGACACTTTTTTGTGGCACTTATTCACAACAGGAAAAAAAACTTACCAACAAAGAATTGAAGGACTCAAACATTTTCTGAGATTGGCGAAACGTGTGAAACGGTACTCGAGAGAGTACCGTGCATTTCGTCGTTTCGCATCGTGGGAAACAGCTTTGAGACGTCGGCTTGACAATACAGCGTATTTTTCTGACCTCTCGCTCCTCTGTTACTCTCCGCTTTCCCTCCTCGCCTTACTCTATCCCATTTTCATCATCCTATCTCCACGTCGAAGTTCAAAGAGTTTTCCTGCCATACGTGCACGACGCATAACAGGCATACCAATTTTTTTTGCTTTTGCCGTTCACGGCCAGCTTATATAACAAGCTAATCGCAATTTGCAAAGGTAACAACTTGAATACCGAATTCAAGAACTTCCGAAATGTATGAAGTTAATAGTGAATGCGGTTTTCGGTGCCCTTCCATTCGAACTACCCATAAAATCAAATAGGGTAGGGTGGGGTAATTTGAACACGTGGGGCAATTTGAATATAGTGTGAAAAACACAAAATTACGGAAAATCCATAAGTGGCATGGCAATAAGACCAATGAGGGAAATTATCGCAACTTAAAAGGCTATCATATGAACGGGGTTTAAAATTTCAGGGAATGTAGATGTTGACGCACACTGTAAAAATCAATTTCGCAAGTAAAAACGCATAAAAACACGTCATTGCAACTTCATTGCAGCGCAAAATCTTGCATTGCTAGCCCCTCGCAAAGGCTTTTGTTGTACAATGACCTTATCAGTGCCTTCAATCAAAAAAAAATTGCTTTTGAAACCTGTTTTTAAATATGGCAAAATAACTTTAAGCGTGGGATAATTTGAACATAGTGTGATAATTTCAATGAAGGCAGGGATAACTCCGAAATAACAACGCTCTAAGGTTTTTTTGCCAATATTTTCGACCCAAAGCATTAGCAGATTAGTGATGCCAGTTTTATAAAATTTACGTCTAATAATATCCGTCTAATGTCCGGCATTTTCGTTGATTTCCGTTCAAAAAATTTAGTCAGCCATTTGTCCAAATATGTCCGAAAATTACGCATTCATCAACACTCAAAACTGTCATTTAGATTGCTTATAATGTAATTTTACCAGCCGAAAAGTGTTCATTAAATTTAGAGCTTAACAAGCTTTCCATTCGCCAATGAATGCTATGCACGATTATTACTTTATAAAAAGCGCTGAAGTGTAGCAAGCCATTGTCCAATGTTGTCCAGTCCTGGACCTTTGTCCAACCAATTCCGAATCGGACATTGGACAAACTCAGAACTCCAAATGTCCAGGCTTCGATTGGCACCACTATAACAGATGTAGTAAGGTTGAGAGAGCTTTTATCAAACAAAAATGATAGACGTTCTGTTAATTGAAGAGAGGCGAATTCTGTCAACTGACCGGTGTGCAGCGTGCAGATATTGATACTCTGCAACTGTTATTTTTGTTGTTGGGTTGATTTTTCAAGTGAAGGTATGTTTAGAATTGTTCTGCCTATTTGTTTATGGGTCAAACAACATCGGTGCTGGCGAGACTATCGTTTTTATGACAGGTAAAGGCAGTATGTTCAAATTACCCCACGGTGGGGCAATTTGAACACACCGTGACTTGGTGGAGAAGTGAGGCTATGCTATTCAAGGTATGCTCGGATCGTCCAAAAATGGGGCTTGCAAGGTGAAAGCAAGTGACACTTGCGCTACTGAAGCAGTTTTTCTTCATCCAGGGTTGAGCTGGAATTTGGTACAACGGAGAAGACGTAAAAATATGTTCAAATTACCCCACACTACCCTAATCTTTCTCACTTCGGGCTTAGACACTTTGGAAGAGGATATAAGCGCGGCTAAGCTCGGCGCGAAGATCGGATGGGGCTCGGATGGGCACTATAACATTATGCTGGCTTTTTTACAGGGAACACACTGGGTTTTGGTACCTAATAGGAATGATGATATATTATCTGCAGTTCTTACTAAAATGTACAATAATAGAAAAAAATGGGTGTAACTGTGTAGACGGATTTATTGATAAGTAAATGCTCAGGCAGATGTTCCCGCCAAGACTTATACATAATTCGAATTGTTCAAACGTGTCTGGGGCCATATGCTCTACTATAATAGGAAGTACACACATGATCAGGGCTAGAAAAAACCTGCTATTGCAAAAGAAAGACGTTGAATGGACATACATCAGTAACAACTGAAAACGTCAAACCCAAGGTACAGACGCCTTATAATATGAGGAGGGAAACTCCATGCATGTTTTTATGTCGTTAATTGTTAAACCTCATCTATTTTCCCATGGACAATCCGTAATCGCTATATGGACCGATGACGGTCGTGGCTGTCCTGTTGCCAGATCTGGCTGCCTATATGGGCCGCACAGGGACAGTCCGTCATTGCCGCAGCTGTGACCGTCTCTATAAGATGTCAGGTGGGCCATGAGGAGCCCTGCAGTGACCATATGTGACACCTGCGACCGTCTTTAGGTGTGCGATGGGCTTCCAGGGACCGCGTGTAACCGTGCTACCGTGTACCTAACTGTGAACGGTGTAACCGTCTGTTCGTATAGGTGAAGCGATGGCGAGCGCAGGGAATGCGCGCGCCCATGTGCACAGCCCGGCCCGGCTGGCAGACCATCTCGTTCCGCCAGCCCAAGTACAAGAAGACGTTCCACAAGATCGACGTCAACCTCGTGGACATTCTCGACATCGACACAGAGCGACAGGTGGGTGTCCAGATCAGCCGAGGTCCCCTCTGTTCGTGTACACACCGCGTCAGTTGGTGTCACTATCGGTCACCGCCCGTGACCGCCACACGCTGTTGTCATGCTACCTCGCTCAAATCGGAGACGGGGAAGATAATAGGCAGCTCTGTTAGGAAGCACGTGCACTTGGGAATACTTGGAGACAGATATCACTATTTATGTATACTATCGTGTAAAACATTTGAAAATGGGTGTGTCGTATCGCACGGTGAGCCGGAAAATCTGGCCACCTGGGACGCGCCGCCTGTCTTATCGGAGGTGCGAGCTCGAGACGCGTGACACTGCAGCGCTGCACTCGATCGGCGTGGACGGTAGTCGGGACGCGGAACAAAAACGAAACACCAACGGACGCGGCGTCATCGGAACTAGCTACATTGGCGTAGCTCTACACATACCTCATTCTTGAGATAATAAAAACTGACTGCAGGTGAATGTCAACTTTACGATCCTGTAGAAGTCAAGTTGCTCCGGCCCTAACCCTAACTAAATGCAATGACTATGAGTCGAGACCGAAGTGATCGATAAACGGGACGGGGACGGTTTTTAACACAGTGATTGACGCGGTAACCTTGACGTGTGTGACCTTAACCGTTCCTCTATGTGTGTGGCCTTTTGGGTTCCTCCGCTTTTTGACCTCCTGTGACCCTGCTCGTTCCTCCGCTCCTGTAACCGTGTGACCCCGTGCTTCCGGTGTTCCTGTAACCATGTCTCTCTCTCCGTTCCTCCGTCTCGGTGACGTTGTGACCCTGTGCGTCCCGCTGCAGGTGGTGAGGCTGGAGCCGATGGTCACAATGGGACAGCTGACGGCCACGCTGAACCCGCTCGGGTGGACGCTGCCCATCATCCCGGAGATGGATGACCTCACTGTCGGTACGTGGCCGGCCTGCGCACTGCAGTCGTCCCCAAAACGAGCCTATTCAGCTGACATACGCCTTACAGATCCGGAATGTCATCCGTAACCGTCAAACGCGCATTATTCATACACAGCATTCACATTCTTTGTAGTAATCCGACAGCTACTTCCGCCACATTGCTTGCATGCCTCACGTCATAACAGTGAGCTCCTGTTTGATTTGACGAGAAGCCCCGGTATAAGCTACATGGTGTTCACTGGTGGGGTACTTCCCTGGTTGGTCTCACTAGAGCGATAACTGACGGTAAGCTGGTCAGGAGGACATCTACCACACGGACAGACAGCCGACCCTGTGGGACGACCGACCTGACGTTTACTACTGTGATGACTCTCGCGGACGCACGGACGATGGGACAGCAGACCTCAGAAGCCGGTCATGACACACCGTCGTGTCGGGCAGCCGACCTGAGGTGATTGTCATCACACCCCGCGGGTCGGCCGTCCTCGACCGCTCTCTGTCCCGCGGACGGCCGCCGACACCTGTCCCCGGCGCACCGGTGTGCCCGACCGGGAACAGTGGCACCGGCCGAGCGACACCCGGTCATAGGTCATCTACAGCCACTGCACACATGCACCAGACCTGAGAGGGCGCGTGATACCGCGACGACCGCTGGCGACAGGGCAACAACAGCGGCATTACTTACTATTCGGAAGTTCAGAACCATGGTCCAAGCCACTAATCCGAAACCTGCTTATGTATGAATTATGATTATCAAAAAGTCGCACTTTCAAGAAAGGAGAGGTTAGTGATGGAAAGAATTAAATATTTGGTCTGTGTCGAGAGTGCCATTTATGACTTATGACGTTATATGGAGGCCGGCGGCCAGTCCGTCGGATGAGCTGCTCTTATATCACCCTGCCGTTTCTACATGGGATGAGCTCCGATGCACGGCGAGTCATGTGCGGCCGGAATGCGGACCCAACGCCGCGCCGGCCAGCCCCCATTGTACCGATGGTATCGGTGAGTGTTTGTGCTGTCGCCGAGTACACGGCTCTCGCGTTGCAGGTGGTCTGGTGATGGGCACCGGTGTCGAGTCGTCCTCGCACCGGTTCGGACTGTTCCAGCACATCTGTCTGGAGCTGGAGCTGGTGCTCTCAGACGGCTCCGTGGTCACCTGCTCCCGGGTCAGTGGCGTCGCTAATGACTGCATACCTCGGTCCCCAGTGTTCCTCTTTTATGTGCTCACTAGCCCTACCTTTCCGTCATCCAATTCCTTGTTTTCTCGGATGTTTAATATTTATATCTATTTCACTACCAAATTGGTAAACGTTATCCACCGGAAAGCTGAAGCCCCAAAAATGGTTTGCTTGCTTAGTGTCTGTGTAAGCAAATACAACTTTTTCATCGAGACAGCTCATCGGTTTTGTGGAATACTCGTATATTATATACTATGACATTGTGATATAGGCTAAAACAACAAGTCATCAGATAGTAAAAACCGTTGCACAGTCGCAATCCCACGGATCTGCGTATGCACGTTGCACGTGTGTCTGATATACGCTCGGGCAGTGCGGCTGACCGGTCGTGTCATGTCACCGGCCGGTGCCCTCAGGAGGAGAACGCCGACCTGTTCCACGCCGTGTTCTGGTCGTACGGCACCCTCGGCTTTCTGACGGCCGTCCAGGTGCGTATCGTGCCGGCGCGGCCGTACGTGCGGCTCCAGTACCGGCCCGTGCACGATCGCTCCCAGCTCAGCCGGCTGCTGACAGAGGTCAGCGGAGGGCCGCACCAGTTCGTCGAGACGCTCGTCTTCGACCGCGACCGGGCCGTCGTCATGACCGGCGACCTGGTCGGTCACGCCGAGCCCGCCGCTGAGCCGCACAAGGTCAGTGACCGGTCACTGGGAGCTTGGGTGGCTGGAGAGGTTTTAGTCACGGCATACCTACCTTATATCATGTTTGTTTCGTAAATGCCTGGTGATCGAGAAGCCGTGACTAATAGTGGATGATTTCAATACACGTGTAAAAGTAAGAAAAAGGTGGATGTCCATATGGCTCACTTCGATTATTGTCCTACACGGAGCTCCATGCCCTGTCCCTCCCCCACACAGTCACACAAACGCTGGCCGGCCCGCTCAGAACACAGTCGACAGACGGCCATAATATAGCAGTCTCTCCGTTCCGAGCTGCTCTCCGATGTCAGTGCTTTCCTGAACTGTTTTGACCGCGCAGAGCTGGTGCTTCATCAAGCTTGCAAATTTAGCTGAGCCAACACCATACGTGTACTAAAAAAACAGCCGTCTGTCCGCACCTATTCCTTGCAGACAGCGCAGCTACGTATGTAGCTCAGCGCCACAAACTGAGACGTTTTCGTCTGCCGGGAGTTTGCAAGCTTTGGAGTTTTGTTCGTCTGCCGGTCTCGCGAAGCCCGTTTGTCATCATGCTCGTTTCTCCCTAGTTTGTGGCGGGCCCGCCTCTGCTCAGAATGCTGACTCTGGTTGCTGTGTTACCGTAGTGTTCCGCAACTGATGCTCCCTGGGACGCTGGGTATGTACAGTAAAACGCTGACTTAGCATCCACCATGTTTATCGCAGGCTTTCTGCGGTGCAGCGAAAGAAAAGGCGATCCCCATGTGCTGCAAGCATTCTTGTGTCAACGCACAAGGCATTCCATGTAAACGCCCATCAAGTTAGTGAAGCGGTTAGCTTCGGCGCCCTAAATTGACAGCTTTGCTTGGTCATCGGTGGTATCTCCTCTGAACAATGCCCTGCCGTGGCACTCGGTAGCCTATATCTTTGTCCTATGTCCCACCGTGCGGTCGAGCCCCGCCACCCCACCTGGTTAGAGCCGGCCGCGCCGGTGGCCGCCCACCGCCCACCCTGCAGCCGCGGCTGAAGTCAGCCAGCCGCTCTGTCGCCGGCCGGCCGGCCTGTTGGGTCGATACGAGTCGCGGCTCTCCCCTGCTCTCCGTTGGACGCTGGCTGCCTAGCAACCAAACGACGGGACGACCGTGACCCGACCGGGAGACCTGGCTGGCGCGGTATCCCGGCAAACCGGCAATTGTGCGAGTGCGATTGTGATAGATTTACGATTTTGATAGATCGCCATAGATCACAGACATACGTCTGCATATAACCCTTTTGTGCCATTCAAAAATGATCTAATTCTCGACGCAGGACACATCATGTTCCATATGAACCCACTTGACATTGAATATGCTGATCAGCAATTCTTAAATGTACGTACATTTTATTTTATTATATCTCAGCGAAACAACATTCCTCGAGACACGGATATCCCTGTCGGTTATGATTGGATTAAGTGGCGCTCTAGGAATCTTATCAAGACAGTATCTGCAGACTTATATAATGAAACATGCATATCATGTTACTGCAAAAAGCATACAGATGATATTGTCCTTACGAGATAAGAACGTATGTTGTCGGTCAGCGCTCAGGTGGCGGTGACTCAACGGGGTCCACTCAGCAGGGTCTCATTGACGCCATCTGTCGTCAGGTGAACACAATCGGCCTGTGGCACAAGCCCTGGTTCTTCAAGCACGTGCAGACGTTCCTAGAGCGCGGTGAGGACTACGAGTACATCCCGCTGAGGGACTACTACCATCGGCACACGCGCGCCATCTTCTGGGAGATACAGGTGCGACGGAGCGTCGTGTTGACAAGGAAACCGCACTTTATTGACTCAGAAGTCAGAATGTGAGGTCACGTGATGATATAAGTTGATGTAATTTCATACTTTTTTCGTAGACAAAGACTATTGCTGTACCTTCATCATATTTACATGAATAGGCTGAGTTGCGCTTCTCAATTCACTCATTAGACATGTATTTTGTACGTTCATGAATTTATTTGATATCACCTTTCTCACCGCATTTATCAGCTGAGTTAGATCCCGTGTCCCACAGCGGTAAATGCCGCTTCGGCTTCCCGATCTATGCCTGTTTACCGCTGTGGCTCCGTGAATCGCCGTCACCAAGTCTCTCTCCGACCACACGCAGGACATTATTCCGTTCGGGAACAACCCCGTGTTCCGCTGGCTCTGCGGCTGGATGGTACCGCCCAAGGTCTCCCTCCTGAAGCTCACCCAAGGACAGACCATCAAGGAGCTGTACGAGAAGAACCACTTCATCCAGGACATGCTGGTGCCGCTCGATCAGCTGGACAGCTCGTTGGACGTCTTCCACAGGGAGGTGGAGGTGAGAGGAAACCATCTCAAATCCGACTTCGGAGCTGTGTGACGGGTTTGGCCCAGGATCGTTTGAAGCACTATGAGCTGTAAAGTACAGACCTGGTTCATTCACATTTCACCGTAATGGGGTATCACATGTGTGTATTTTGACCCAGCTTGGCCTAATCTGTAGCACGAATATAAAACTCCGTCTGTAATGCACCCCATGATACCAGCTGACGCCCCCTTCACGGCTCAGCTCGCGCCTCGCAGCGTCCTCTAGGGCGCATTGTATTTACAGCGCTCTCCGTGGTCCCAATTCACAGCGCTCTCTGTGGTGCCCTGGACATCACTCTCCTTGGTGCCTTTCGCAGCGCCCTCTGGGCCACCCTGCCCGTGGCCTCTGGGGTACCCTGCACAGCGCCCTCTGGGGCAAGCGCCCTCTGGGGTGCCTTGCCCAGCACCCTCTGTGGCACCCGTCAGAGCGCCATCTGTGGCAGGCGTGGGGCGTGGGCTGCTTTCATAACAACTCGTCCATCTGTCCGGCAGATCTACCCGCTCTGGCTGTGTCCGTTCGTGCTGCCGGCCGACCCGGGCTTCCTCCAGCCAGCCTCCAGGAAGGAGCAGATGTACATCGACATCGGCGCCTACGGTGTGCCGCGCACCGTCAACTTCGACGCCGTCAAGACCGGCCGCCGCATCGAGAAGTTCGTCATCTCTGTCGGCGGGTGAGTAGGCTGGGGTGTAAAATCGGCTCGGTGCCTGCTGGTTATGATATTGTAATGTAGACAGATAGACGTCTTGTGTTCCTCATTCTGTCCACACCAACGATACTCATTAACTGTATGCGTTGGTCGGTCTGTGTGACCGTTGTGAACTGACGACGGCGGACGGTGCGGTCCGTGCCCAGGTTCCAGATGATGTACGCCGACTCGTTCATGACTCGGGAGGAGTACCGCACCATGTTCGACCACAGTCTCTACGACAAGGTGCGCCGCCGGTTCGACTGTCTGACCGCCTTCCCGGAGGTTTACGACAAGGTGAACCGGTCGGCCCGCGACTGACCGGCCGACAGCTGACAGAGGGTCTCCGACCTCGCACTCCGGCCAGCGGCAGCGCACCACACCCCGAGGACGGACGCTCACCGCACGCTCAACGTCCTTCTGTCCCGCACAGCCGCCAGCTCACACGTGTGTTTTGTGGCGCGTCATGTAGCTGCGTGTGTGATTTCTCGCGCGTTACGAGGCTGCACGTGTCAGGTCCAGCGCGGCATGTGACAGCACATGTGATGTCTCACGTTATGTAACCGTGCGTGTGATATTGGTCAGTGTTTGCTGGTTAAATGGGCATCCAGCTCTAAGCGTGTTGCTCTATACTGGATGCTCGATCCAGATAAAGCAGAAGGTTGAAGTAAAAAGAGCGTAAGCTGTAAATATTTTTACAACTGTCCGGAATGTACTTTTCGATTCAGCCTCACTGATACTAATCGAATGCTATGTGGGGCACAACTCTGTATTGCATGTGACAAAATAATCGTACAACTGTACTTTTCTTAGGATAATAAAGGGATGTCACTTGTTTATGATATTCATAGATGTCACGATTCACATCACCAATCTACGAGTAATTCCTATATAGATGCGTAAATCACTCAGCAGATTTGCTGGGCCTTTATTATTTGCACTCTATTAAATTCAACACGACTAGGGTAGTGCTAGGGATCGGACTTGGCACATTATTGTCTTGATCTGAACGTTGTTCTGTTTTCTTATTATTCTGCCATGGCTGTCTTTGCCTGATTCCCTATTGAGATAAAGGCATAAATAAATCTTAAATAAAGTTTCTTCTGACTAAGACCGCGGGCATTTTATCTGCGAAGATTTTGCACCCGACTTGTTGGTAACCTCATGGTAACCTGAGAAGCTGCTAATGTAGCGAATAGCGATATCATTTGCTTATCTACCTTTAGGCAATTTAGTGGTCCACCGTCGAAGAGAATCACATACCATCTGGCGCCTATCGGTTTGAGTAACAACTATGTTCGCCATGCGGGGCCGGGCGGGAAAGTTTCGGTGATCGGTCCCCAACAAATATTGCGATGCTTTCCGAGCGCACATGCATACATTACCTTCGAACTTTCGATTGCATTTGATTTGACCTCTTCTGATAATGAACCTATGAACCCTGAACTTCTGATAATGAGCCTTCTTGATGACGTCATGGCGAATGTCGGCGGAAGAGATGCATATTTCAAACGGCTTAAAAAATGGAGGGTATAAATAATTTGCCATTGATGAAGTATTATAGATGAAGACAAATCATGGGCACGGAAGTGTAGCACGTGAAGAGATACAAAACACAATGCACAATACCTTTGGTGAACCAAGTTCATATAATTGGTCAGGTTATAACCTGACCAAATTAACCCTCGCCGGCACAGGGGGGGGGGGTTGATGCAACCCCCCCCCCCCCCTAAGGTTTTTCGAGAATAACTCGCGTAAAAAGCGGCTGATCGCGACGAAACTTTCAGTACCCTCGCATTGATCAATTTTACACCTACCCTGAAAATGTCATAACCCTGACCCCAATGACCTTTGACCTGTGACCTCTTTTCTGTGACCATGTTTGGCCGAAATCGCGGTTCGGCGCATGTCGGCTCGCATTAGCCGCGCGTTTGCAAGCTTTTCGTGGTTTCAAACGTTCAAACATGTGATTTGATGTTGCTCCCATGCATTAGGGTGGGTGTCAAGGTCACCTGAAGGTCAGGTCAGGTCATTGACCTTTGGTGACCTCGGGTGACCTCGGTTCACTTTTTCGAGTTTTACATGTTTCTAGGCTAGTTTTTGGAGCTGAATTCGAATTTAGCAACCATTTGAACATTTACGAAGTAGTTTTGGTGCCTTCGTTACATGTTACGAAGCTATCCGAAGCGGTTGACACGTATTACGAATACCCGTCACAACCCCTACCGGTTGACCTGACCTGACCTGACCCGACCTGGTCTAAATGCTTAAAGACATCATCTCTGATCAAAACTAACACGATATTCGTGATCAGCACCCCGGAAAACCACATAGCAGCCACACTTTACGACTTTCTAACAGGTCCCGATTTTCCCGGTTTTCGGGTCATTGACCTGACCTGGAAGGTCACCCGATGACCTAGGACCTTAAAATTTGGTATCATCGGCTTCCTCTTGTGACGGGCAACACGCTCGTTTTTTCCGCGAAGCTCTAGCTCGATCAGGGGCCAAACGCGAGGGGGGGTCGTACCAACCCCCCCCCCCTTGTGCCGTCGAAGGACTCAAAATGGCCTGTGCCGGCGAGGGTTAAAGTGACCATCTCACCTTAACATTAGTTTTGAGTAGGGATAGCCAACTTGGGGTCCTTGGCTTGCAATTACCGATTTGGGCACTACGACATCGAGAAATGCTGTAATTCCGAGATACTCAATTTCAAAGTCTACAAGTATTCGGCTTCTAAAGGCTAATGCATTTGAATGCCCCCTTATAATTTGTGACGTCAGCGCAAATCTAAGGATTTTAAATCCTATACTAAATCCTAAATCCTATTCAAATCGTAAATCCTATTTAGGGATGCCAAATTATTGCTTCCAAATGACGGCAGAGGAACAGTGGATGTCCCAAAAAGTAAGCAAAAGTCAATCTTGAAAACCAGTGAATATTTTTGTTGAAATTTGCGTAGATATTTGTTTTTTGCTCTTTCTAAGCCGAGTGACATTACTTTTATGCCAATTCTTAACTTTTTTGAAGGTGGGAGGTTCCCTTTAACGCGCAATCTTTATTAACTTGCGCACCACTGGGGTCTGCGTGTAACACGTGTCACGTCCTACGAGCATACGCATTCTGCACAAATCTCTTATACTGCCATTTCCGAAGCACTTGAAACCAACGAGCGACTGTATCAATGCGGCTAATCTCAGGCATTTGTTGCGAGCTGTGCTGGTCGGTGAAAGAAGCTGGCCGTCTTGCCCTACCCATGTGACCGTCTTACCCCATGGGGTGGGGTAAGACAGGTTTTTGCAAGGTTTTGCCAAAATAGCTGAAGTTTATTTGTTGAATCAGGTCTAAGTATCATCTTCTGGCAAATGGAAGTAAATTGTCTAAAAAGGGTTTTCACTCAGTTTCCCGTTTCTATGATATTTCTAACCGGCCGAAAAATGGCTCCAAAGTCTAGGTGCCCGTCTTACCCCACTTTCCCTTACGAATATGTCATTCAAAAGAGAATTGTTGAAAGTCTTTTATGGTACGTCGGTTTTTATTTTACAGCACGAACTATGAGCCACGTGCAAACATTTCGTGCCCAAAAAAGATTATTTTTACAAAGCTAGCAAACCCATGACGATGTGGGCTTTTAATGATTTTTTTTTTCTGGAAAAGTCTTTTTACGAGCATGGGAGATCTATATCGATCAAACCAGTAGCAGCCTTTTGCTCGTCTGTGAACTGATTCATAACGCCGAATGACGCCGGATGAAGAGATCAAGTTTGTCAACTTAAAAAAATAATATTTTTTAGGCACGAGATGTTTGCACGTGGCATGGTCGTAATTCGTGCCGGACAATAAAAACCGACGTATCTTAGAAAAAAAACTTTCAACAATTCTCTTTTGAATGACATATTAATTATTTTTCTAGCGTAATTACTTTTCAAAATAAAACGATTTTTATCGTCTCGTTTTTTTAGACACCCTGTATATTACTGTACAATATCAAAAACGTACTGAAAAATGGATGGGGTTGGGAACTCGATTTTTGAAGAATGTATAGAAATGATCAGACTATTTTTGCAGAATTTATGGTGCATACAGTTTCCTCATAAAAGCATTATGCTGAGAGAAATGGGGGAAGACAGATAGAAAACATATTTTTTAAAGTTCTTGAAAAAGACGCTCTTGATGCTGTTACGTCACATGTCACCACTGAACTCTATAATGTGGAATGCGCATCGGCCGCCAAATGGTGTCCAACGGTGCCGCCATGTTGCGCAGACCAGAAAGCGGCCGCCGCCTGTGCTGGGGAATAGGGAATTCGGGACCTCGATTTACGTTTGCGGTCGCTGCATCCGTTACGCTCAAGCTATGTGGACACGGAACCCGGCATCTTACGCAGAATTGAGTGGAGAACAAGATGAAATCCTAAAAAATCATCAGCTATAAGGAACTAATACGTTAAAGGAAATAGTTCACTTTCACGGAATTATTTTTTTGCAATGGATTTGTGATTTTTTATGTTCAAAATGATCAGCAAAGAAAATAAAACCTTTTTACAACAAAAGATTATTTTCTATATTTTTGATATAGGAAGAACTTTTCAGTTTCTGTAAGGCACACGCGATCCAGTATGAAAAGAGCATGGGTCCCGAAAATTCTTCAGAAACTAGAGAAATTATCGCGGCCACCGGCATTTGGGCGATCTGCTCGTGCTTTTGTTACTGGAGCGCCTCACTGGAGCGAATTTCTCTAGAGTTCTCGTAGATAATTTCTCTAGTTTCTGAAGAATTTTCGGGACCCATGCTTGTTTCATACTGGATGCGAATATATGCAAGGCACACATCCTCAACGCAAGACACATTTTTCGGGACGAGAAATAGAATATCTTTGCCTAGGGTGATCGTTGGGCTGTAAAAGCTCCTGATTTATGCTCGTCTCAGCCCAAGCTACGGAACTGCTATTCCAGTTCAAAACCCATGTTAAAATGTGAACTATTTCCTTTAAACCCTTATAAGTCAATGGGGAAATATGAAAATTGTTATTTTGGCGCCGAGAATGATCTGAAACTATCTCAAGCATATACAATCATGATTTCATGCACTCTTTGCAAGGTTCTATGCTTCATATTTGCATTGTTGCCCTTGCGTGACGTCATTTGTGACGTCACAAGGGTCACCATTTTTCTTCAATAACTCCCGATCAAATTGAGCTAGCGAGTCGGGAAAGCCACCAATGGACTCAGAAAGACCTGCCAAATCGAATGATATGCGACATGACCTCTTTCGACCAGCTTCGTGACCTGGGGGTGCTGACCTGACCTTGACCTGAGGTCAACACCCTAAGTTGACCTGACCCGAACAAAAAGTATATCACTCGATGCGCCTGAGCTAGCTGAACACGATGATGCCAAAATCGCGGCTCTACGGCCATTTTTGGCGAAGTTATTTACGAAAAACCGAACCCGTGCCTTAGATCACTTGACCTGACCTCAGAGGTCACCGGTTGACCTGACACCCTTACAGCGGGTTCCTACCAGTCACTCTGCATTATACTTTGCCGCATACGACCACTTTACCGCTTAATTCTAGTTTAATTAGCGGTGCATTAGCGAGGTGGGTTCAATCAACCCCCTCGGCCGGGGCAAATGTAGGTCAGGCGAGTAAATTTGAGGAATTCTGAAGATACGATCGTGTTCCCCACTCAATTCTGCGTAAGATGCCGGGTTCCGTATCTACGTAACTTGAACGTAACGGATACGGCGGCCGCAAACGTAAATCGAGGTCCCGAATTCCCTATTCCTCAACACAGGCGGCAGCCGGTTTCTGGTCTGCGCAATATGGCCGCCACCGTTAGACACTACGGCCAATAGGGTTGAAGCGGCATTGCTCCCCTGTGCATGTCACCTTCTGCGGTTGACAAATAATGGCGCATCTGGCGCACCACCGATTACATGTTATTTCTATGTATATGTGAAAGAGGTTGTTTGTTTCGCTCTGCCATTCGCGCTGTTTTTAGCTTTAAATTATGCTAAAGCATTCACGAATGAAAGGTTCAATGTCAAAAATTGATGCGTCTGCCGTGTACTGTTCCCATTTAACATTGAGCGCGTGGT